GTTAAATGATCCATCAGCTACCTCTCTTAATTAGAAATGAGACAGATGCACACAGCATGTGAACAACCTAACCCAGCCTCTGTCAGGTGGAAGCATGCTGAGAACCAACACCCACTGTAGGGAGCCTTTGAAGAGAGACGAAAGCCAGCCTCAAAAGGCCATACACTGGCTGTATGAATACCAGTCTGTTTTCAGAGCAGAGGCATTTGATATGTGCATTTTACATGTTATGTCACTCAACCATTTCCCATGGTTTTTTGTTTTTTTTTTAATGGGATGAAATTACCTACAGTTACTTCTGTTTTGACAGCTTTATTGAGATAAAATTCACACACCAAACAACTCAGTCATTTTCACATACAATTCAGTGGCCTTCTGTGTATTGACAGTGTTGCGCATCCATCGCCTCAGTATTTCAGAGTATTTTCATCACCCAAAGAAGCTCCGCTGCCCTGTAGCCTTCACGGTCCCATCTCACCAGCCCGGGGAACCAGGCATTTTCTCGCTCTCGCTCTAGTTTTGCCCTCTGGACGTTTCATGTAAATACCATCATGCAGTGATACATGGCACACAGACAGGCTTGTGTGACTCAGCGTGCTGTTTTCAGGTTCTTCACCTCTTTCTATTGTTGGATGATATTCCATTGTATGGATACACCCCCCTTTTATTCGCTTCTCAGTTGGTGGCTATTTGGGTTGTTTCTACGTTCTAGCTCTTACGAATAACATTGCTATGAACATCCATATACAAGTTTTTGTGCCGACATATTTTTATTTTTCTTGAGCTATACCTAGGAGTAAAATGTGCTTGGGAATGGAGGTCTGTGGAGCCATCTGAGGAGCTGCCAGATTGTTTTCCAAAGCAGCGGCACCGTTTTGCATTCCCATCAGCTGTGTTGTGTGAGGGTTCCCATTCCTCCACATCCTACTGGCATCTGTTGTTGTTGGTGTTTTTCATTGTAGCCACACTAATGGGTGTGAGGTGTTATCTCATTGTGGGTTGCAGCTGCCCGACGGGTAATGATGTTAAGCTGCTTTTTCTGTGCTTAGTAGCTATTCTGTGTGTCTTCCTTGGATAATTGTCTCTTTAGATCCTTTGCCCATTTTTATAATTTAGTTATTTGACTGTTTATTATTGAGTTGTAAGAATTCTTTGTATATTCTAGATATAAATCCCTTGTCATATGTATGATTTGTAAAACTTTTCTTCCATACTGTATGTTGTCTTTTCACTTTCTTGATGGTATCCTTTGAAGTACAAATGTTCTTTGTTTTGTTGTCAAGTTTACCTTTTCTTTTGTTGATTGTGTCTTTAGCATTTTTCTCATGAAGCAGTACCATATATTTTTAATAGCTTTATTGAGATTTAATTGACAGAGAGTAAACTGATTATCTTTAAAGTACATGTGTTGTTAAGTTTTGACATGTACATACAGCTATTGAAAATATCGTTACAGCCAAGGTATGGAACATTAGCCAGCACCCCCAAAGCTTCTTTTTAACCCTTTGTAATCTACCCTCTCCTCATCTCACAGGCAACCACCAATCTCCTTTCTGTCGCTATAGATTAGATTGCATTTTCTACTATTTTATATAAATGGAACCAAAATATGTCTGGGTTCTTCCACTCAACATTATAATGTTGAGATTCACCCATGTTTTTACATGTATCTTTAGTTCATTGCTTAGTATAGCTAAGGAGTATTTCATTGTGCAGATATATCACCATTTGCTTATTCTGTCCCTTTACACGTCGACAGACATTTGGGTTTTTATCAGGTCTGCTTATTACAAATAACCTGCTCTGGACATTCCTCTAAAAGTCATTGTCTAGACATAGCTTTCATTTGTCTCGGGTAAATACCAAGGAAGAGAGTGACTGACTGGGTCTTTGGAAGGTGCATGTTTAACTTGTAAAGAAAATGTCAAACAGTTCCAGTTGCCTCACATTTTCTTAAACATTGGTGTGGTCAGTCCTTTTAAATTTTAGCCATTCTGTTTATAGTGTCTCTCTTTGTAGTTTTCATTTTACTTTCTCTAATAACTGATGATTTATGAGCATCTTTTAACGTGACTGTTTGCTTTTCATCTATCTTCTTTGGTGAAGCATCTGTTCAGGTCTTTTGACCTTTTTTTTTTATTTGGGATATTTGTTTTCTTAATATTGAGTTTTGAAAGTTCTTTATATACACATCCTTTATTAGATATGTTAATTGTAAATATTTTTTTCTCACCTCTGGCTTATCATTCTCTGAACAATGTCCTTCAAAAAGCAGAGTGCTTAATTTTGAAAAGTCTTTATCAGTTTTCTTTTATGGATTATAATTTTTAGTGTCATATCTAAGAAATCTTATACCTAATTCAATCACAAAGATTTCCTCCTATACTTTTCCCTAGAATTTTTATAGTTCTACGTTTTACATTCAGGTCTATGATCCATTTTGAGTTAATATTTCTATACGGTGCAGGTATGGATCCAAGTTCATTTTTTAGTAAATTGTTACAGCACCATTTGTTGAAAAGGCTTCCATTTTCCACTCAATTACCTTTGATATTTGATGAAAATCAATTGACCGTATGTTCTCATTGGGTATATTTCTTCACTCTCTTCTCTGTTCTAATGATCTATTGTCTATTTTTGCTGCAGTACCACAATATTTTTATTACTGTTGGTTTACAATGAGTAGTGCATTCAGATGGTGTAAGTCCTCCAAATTTATTCTTTTCCAATGTTACTTTGTCTATTTTAGGTCTGCATTTTCTATGAAGTTTAGGATCAGTTTGTCAATTTCTGCAAAAAAAAAAAAAGTGCTGATATTTTGATTGATATTACATTGACTCTGTAAATCAATATGGGAATAATTGACACCTTAACAATAGTGAGTCTTCTGACCCATGAAATGTGTGTGTGTGTGTGTGTGTGTGTGTGTGTGTGTGCGCGCTTTTATTATATTTTAGGGTTTTAATTTTCTCAGCAGCAGATTGTAGTGCTCAGTGTACAGGTCTTTTGTCAGATACCCAAGTATTTCATTTTTTGATGCTATTATCACTGATACTTTTTTATTTCAATGCCTGATTGTTGTTTGCTAGTATATAGAAATGCAATTGCCTTTTGTATATTAATCTTATGTTCTGCCACCTAACGCAATTTATTAGTTCTAGGTTTTTGTTATTGTTTTTTTGTAGATATTATAGGATTTTCTAAACAGGTAGTCAAATGATTTATAAGTAAAACTGTTGACTTCTGCCTTTCCAGTCTGGATGCCTTTTATTTGATTTTCATCTTTTACAATGACTAGAACCTGTAGCACCGTGGTGAGTGGAAGTGCTAAGAGCAGACATCCTCGCCTTGTAGGGATAAGGATCTCAGGAGGAACCATTTAGTCTTTCACCATTAGCATAATGGTTGCTGTAGGTCTTATGTAGGTGCCCCACAGCATGCTGAGAAAATTCCTTCTCATCCTGGTTTGCTAATAGTTTGGATCAGAAATGGATATTTGATTTTGTCAAATATTTTTTCTACCTTTATTGAAATGATTGTATGGTTTGCCTTTTTTAGTTAATCTAGTGAATTACAGTCATTTACTTTAAAATAGTAAAGAAATTTTGCATTCCTGCGATAAACCTGTTCGTCATGATTTTTATCTTTCTTTTTTGTACATGCAGTCTTCACTCTGCAAGGTACTCTGTTCACTGCAACATGTCCGTATCAGAACCATGTCCCTCTCTGCTGGGTCTTTGGTGACCATGGAGCAGAGACATGGTTCCCAAATGTACAAGCTTCAGTGAACTCTATTGTGCAGAGCAAATTCTGACTGTATTGTTGGGTCTGATTTGCTAGCATTTTGTTACAATTTGCTGCATCTACGTTCCTGAGGAATATTGGTCTGTAGTTTTCTTGTAATGTCTTTGTCTAATTTTGATATGTATTGCAGCCTCATAGAATGAGTTGGGAAGTATGTCTTTCTCGTCTATTTTCTGAAAAGGTTCTGTAGAATTAGTATTATTTCTTCCCTAATGTTTGGTAGAATTCATCAGTGAAGCCATCTGGGCCTGGAGTTTTGTGGCGTTTTTAAGAAGGTTTAAAAGTACAATTTCAATTTCTTTTTTTATCTGTTTCTTCTTGAGCAAGCTCTGGTAGTCTGTGACTTCCACGGACTTTGTGCTTTTCACATAACTTCTTGATTATATTGGCACAAAGTTAGTGTCAGTAAAATGTGTAGTGATGTTACCTCTTTCATTACCGAGATTTTTACTTGTGTCTTCTCTCTTGATAATGTTTTTAAATGGCCATTCTGGTTGGAGGTTTATCAATTTTAAAATTGCTCTGTGCAAAGAACCAGCTTTTGTTTCATTGATCTTCTCTATTGTTTTTGTGTTTCCTGCTTCGTTGCTTCCTCTGTGTCATTGCGTCCTCTCCTTTGCCTGGTTCACAGTTCATTCGCTCTTCTAGTTCCAGTTTCTAAGGAAGAAACTGAGGCCATTGATTGATACCTTTCTTCTTTTTTAATAAAGTGTTCAGTGCCATAAATTTCCCTCTACACACTACTTGGTGACATACCACAAATCGTGGTGTGCTAAGTCTTCATTTCATTCAGTTTAGAGTACTTTGTAATTTCCCTTTTGAATCTTTCCTTTACTCATAGATTACGTAGTTTCATTTAATTTCCACATTTTTGGAGATTTTCCATATATCTCTGATATTTTTTTCCCCATTTCATGAGATAGAATTGACATACAACATTGTGTAAGTGTAAGGTGTACAAGGTGATGATATATAGATATATAGATATATAGATATATATAAATGTTTACTACATGAAGGTTAGTTAGCATCCTTTATCTCACATAATTACCATTCTCTTGTTCTTGTTGTTATGGTAACACTAAAGCTCTACTCTCATGGCAATTTCAAGTCTACGGTACAGTATTGTTAACTACAGTTAACATGATGTACGTTGAAGAGCTGCGTTACCCAAATGCCTTTCCTTTGTCTTACAGCAATCAGCAGGCCTTTTTACTGGAGAACGTCCCTTGTAATAATGCAAGCTGTGAGGGGGCGCATCGTATGTTTAAAGTCTATTGGGAGCTGATGGACCTAAATCAAATCAGAGATGCCATGGCTGCGACCTTCTTTGACATTTACGAAGATGTGAGTTCAGAGCTCTTGTGTGTGTTGGACTCTAATTGCTGTCCACCTCATCTCACTTTCTTTCACTTTAGCCTATTTGACCAGAAAATTTAGATGAGATCATGAAAGCAAATGAGCTCATTAAAGAAAGCCCCTTTTAATTGTGAAATGGCAGAGGGAACAAATCTGTTGACACCCCTGGATGATCAGTACAGGGGAATAGGAAAGCGCCTGTATCGCATCTCGCGCTCACCGAGGTTAAACCCCTGGGGCATCATGCTGTGAGACTGGTGAGCGTGCGTGTGCACCACAGCCAAGCACGGCCAACGCGTGACAGAGCCTGGAACCCGCGTAAGAGCACAGAAAGACAAGATCAGGACTCAACGTTGTGAACTGGAGGGAGCGTCTGTCGCCTCACATTCTTGTGACTCTGTCTGCAGTTGCCAGGTACCTTGTGAAAAGCACTCAGGGTCCTGGTTTCCTCCTTTCTAATGTGAAAAGCCAGTTCACCACTCAGAAAAATAATAAACTCTGATAAAGTATGTTAAACTCCAGAGTTAATATACCAGTATATCCTGTAAAGTAACTTGATTGTTTTAAAAAGTTAAATGCCCACGAGGACACTTATGGCTCCCCGAACCCCATTTTTGCTTCTTTTTTTTTTTTCTTATGAGGCTGATTCTCGATTATCAAATTATTGAGGCCCTTATTTTTCTGTCTCTCTGCTACCAAACCTCATGTTATTTCACTTTTTATTAGCAGTTTTCAAGCATAAAAGTAATTGGCAAAAATATCACAAAGGAACTAACTACAAATCAGTTTTTAATTTCTGCACATAAAAAGCATCATAAATGAAATTTAAATGAATGAAATTTAAAATTATTTTTAAATCTGGGAAATAAATTTGCTATGAAAAAATCAAATAACTAATATTCTTAATATAAAAAGAATTTGTACTGATATGAGTCACCAAAAACTTCCTCTCAAGCAACAGAATATAGTCTACAGACAAAACACAAGTGGCTAACATGTGAAAAAATATGGTAAATGATCAACATTATTCAGTCACCCACAAGGAAATTTAAATGAGCATACCTTTTTTTCCCTCCAATAAAATTAGCAAAGCTCCCCCTTTCTTAGGGGAAAAAGAGATGATAATGTGCAGTGGTAGCCAGGGCAAATAAAAAGGTGCTCTTTTTCTGATTTTGGACATGATTTGGCAGTCCATGTCATAGGCCTGGAAAAATTCATGCAAATGTAACTGGAAGGAACTATGTCAAAATGCTGTTATCCCCAGAGATTAAAATTAACAGATGTTTTTCATTTTATTTGTGTTTTACTCTTCAAGGTTTTATGTATTTTAATCATATTTTTATATTAAACAAGTTGAATAAGGCTTACATGTACATGATAAACATGCCATGTGTTTTCATCCTTTTCCCAGTCGTTCTTGTAGTTTGTTCTTACCACTTTTGGGGCTTTTTTCCAGGGGATCTTGGACATCATGGTACTAAGTAAAGGATATACAAAGAACGATTTTGCCATCCACGCACTAAAAAATAACTTTGAAGCAGATGCTTATTTTGTGAAAGTCATTGGTGAGTATTTGACTTATGTTTTATTATTAAGTGTTCACGTTTAATTTTGTATTCTTTCTCTCTATCAACATAAATTTTCCACAGGTAAGGACACAGTCCCACTGTCCAATTTAGGGCGTCAGCTTCAGCACAACACTGCCACCCTCTCTGTACACAGACTCCTCAGATTTCAGCAAGTACCAACAGTGACTTCTTTCTGGGATTCTCTGCAGAAATCCCTGTTACATTTAATTTCCCATCTTTGCAGGCTTCTTTCGTCTGGAAGAGTTCCTGTTCACGGCCTTATCAGCCTTAAAGAATGCAGGCCTTCTACCCTCCTTCCTCATTACCGGACTCAGGTCATCCATTTTTTGCAGAAATCCCGCTGCGGGGAGCTGGAGGCCGATGCGGTGCCCTCTCCGTGCATCGTGTCAGGAAGCACGTGACGTTGAGTCCCACCACCATGATGTTCACCTTGATCGTCTGGTCCTCTTGATGACCACCAGGCCTTTGCACCCTAAATTCACTGTTTCCCCCTTGCAACTGATTCGTATTTGGTGGAGATATATTCGGATATTACTTTCATATCCTTTCCCTTATCAAACCTCTACCTACCGGCCTTAGCGTCCATCGACAACTTCTGCCCGAATCAGTAGTTGTCAAAGAGTGATGCTCTATTTCCAACATTCCTCCTGCATTTATTAGTTGGCATTCTACTATAAGAAAGATCTTTCAGTATAGATCTGTGTATTCATATTTTATTCAGTAAACAGAATTGTTTCTTTTAATGTTCACATTGTTCCCAGGGGGACAGCAGGAAGGAACTCCTTCGGGCAGGCTTCTGTGCCTTTTGGACACATTCTCAGGCAGAGCAAGATAGCGCAGATTCATCTCCCGTGTCCCTTGCCCGAAGTCTAGAATCTGACCTTTCTCCAAGGAGCCCTGCTTCCTTTTAGTAGAGGATAGTATTTTAAAACCGAGTTCTGAGGACTCATTGTGCTGGTTTCTACTGGGTGGTCCTTTCTTCCATGTTCTGTCAATGGACAGACCTAGAAAATATGGGCACGGCTTCACATACACACAGCACACAAATACACACATCTATATGTATATATGTCTATGTATATAATTTATATATGTACATATATATGTATATAAAATACAACCAAAAATTCATACTGTGACTTCCATTTGTAATCCAGCACATTTCAAGGTCCTGTCTAATCTTTCTGCCTGTAGATATCTTCTCTAGCAGTGAGACACGCGGGTCCCATTTTCCTCGATATGTATCTGTTTGTTCAGTGTTAGCTATTCCTGACCATGACAGCCGTCTCCGCTGCCTGCCACCCACATGCTATAGAAATCCTGTACATGTTTTCTTAAATGTCTGCCTATGTCTTTTATTTTCTTTGCAGTGATTATAAATGTTATTGTAAGTGTTTTTAAGTTTGGTTTCCACATTTTTGAAATGCAGTTGATTTTTGTGTGTCAATCACGCGTACTGCAGCCTTGCTCATCTCACTTATTGGTTCTAGGAGGTTTCGCTTTGTTTTGTTGTTAGAGCCCATAGACAGTAATGTCATCTGCAAAGGGGGACAGTTTTAGTTCTTCCTTTCCAACCTACATTTTTTTTTTCTTGTTCTGGCTAGAATTTCCGTTGCTGTGGTGGATAATATTGGTGAGAGTGGACACCCTTGCCTTGCTTCTGTTCTCAGGGAAAGCTTTCTGTCTTTCACCATTCGGTATGATGTCAGCTATAGGTTTTTTTGTAGATGCTCTGTATTGTGTTAAGGAAGTTTCCCCTGTTTCTAGTTTGCTGAGAGTTTCTTCATGAATTAGTGTTAAAAGGAAACTATTTTTGTCTTGTTATTACAGTTGACATCAAAACAGCCATATCAGTTCATTTGTTAATGAAGTGACACATGTATTTCATATAAATATTATAATTTTGAAATGGGTATAAGTAGCCAAATACAGAAGAGCAACAGAATAATGAATGAGTATTGGATTTATTTTGGGAAACGGAAATGACAGAAAATGTAATTTTGCTTCCTAACAAATTTCTAGCAAATTCACTCTTATTTGAATGAACTCAGAGTGACTCCCATCTTCATTACCACTGTAGCCACGGAATAATTACATTGTGAGTCTCACCAGCTCTATACTTGTTATCCATGTGACTATCTCCTCTCTTTTGCCATTTTCAAGGGGGTATTATTTGGCTATTTTGGAGCTAAAATTTTTTTTAAATATGCTATATCTTTGGTATGCTCTTAATTTACCTAGTTTGAAGGGTTTTTTGTTGTTTTTTTCTCAGTGGTTTTCCTTCAACTTTAAACCTCTAGATAAGAAGACAAGAAGTCCTTAAACTTCTTGCTAACTCTAAATGTATATGTAGTTAAAATAACCTGGGTCAGTGAATGGGAATGAAATCAAGGGCTGCTGGAGTAAGGGTTTGGAACTTATCCCTTCCAGATAAATGACCGAGTCCAGCACAGCCTTGACTAATCCAGCAATAGAAGCAAACATCTCCAAACACCTGTTCTGTGTCCTTGGGTCACTGGAATCACCCTCCTTTGTGAGTGACAGCACACTCTTACTCCCCGTTTGTGTTCATACAGTCCCCTCACTGCTCCCAGGATATTTGAGAAGGCGCTGAAATCCAGTTATGTGGGTCATTTGATTAGCGTCTTTCTCTCCTAGTACACTGCGATAGTCTAAGCACCTGGAGGGGGGTGTCCTTGTCTTATTTGTCTTGATTTCCCAGTGCCCAACCCAGGGCCTGCACACAGGAGGCGCTGAGGAAACTTACACCAGACCAATGGCCAGCTACTTTTCAAGGCACGGGCTGGCTTTCTGACTTAAAAGTGTTCCCTCTAGAACCCAGGCAACACCTGATGCCTCTGACCGCTTGTTCCATCTCCACAAACATCCTACCAACATATGGAACTCGAACTCAAGGGCACGTCACCACCTGGACCCGTTTTCCAATATTAGGGACCCAGCCAGTCAATAGTTCGTTTCTCGAAAAGGAAGAATGGAGCCTTAGTGAACAAGTTACTCTGTCCTAGTTTAACTTCTCAAGTCTACCCATCATTTTGGATTCTCTGGGACTAGAAACTAGCGTAATTTTCCAGGCTCACAACCCAAAATGCAGTAAGAGGGGACTCGCTCTCGTTACCTTAATGGGGATGCCCCAACCCAGAATGAATGTTACTTGTTTCAAATATATATGTGAAACTCAGATGAATAGTTCTCTTTCAAAGTATTTTCTTTCTGTTTAATGAGATAGCTGTAGGATTTGTGTCCTTAATTTGAGCTTGCCAGCGTACTTTAAAGAAACTATTATCTCAAGTTCGAAGCTTTCAGAAAAACACAGATTTATTTCTTAGTTCATCTGATTGCTGTGTGTTGGTATGTACGGATTGAAAGTTAATGTTTTCCAGAACATGTTAGGCACTGAGAAGAAAAAATTCAATCAAAACAGAGGTTCACCCTATACTCACTCAACAAGTTCTTTTTCTTTTTCCTTTCTTTTTTTTCCAGTTTTGAGAAATAGTTGACAACAGCAAGTTCTTTTATTCAAGCCTTAAAACTCCTCTGACACTAAAACTTCTTTGTTTTGTACCCTTTGAGACATATGATTGCGTTTTCTCTGCTCGTCACGAGCCTGTGAACTGGTGTGAGGGCATATTAGGCCGTGGTCTGCATGCCTGAGTCTGTAGGCTGTTTCCCAGCACAGGCTGTCAGTCACGTGACGCAGAAGTGAATCAGAGCAGAGCAATTTCCGCACTGTGGGAAGGGAGTCAGCTTCCGGTTGTAATAATAATAATAATAATAATAATAATAATAATAATAATTCTAAAGAGAAAAGGCCCTTCTCAGTGTGAAGCAGAAGCCAGTCTCGCTTTTTAAAAAATATATTGATCATTTGGAAACTGTCCATGTGAGAAAAAGACAATTTCGGATCCTCAGTCCTTCCTTGGTACTTATTCATTAACATATCTAAAAATGACAGAAAAGTCAGGCAATTTTAGCGACGGGAAAGGCCTCAGAAGCCAGCTTCTGCCTGAGTGAGGCTCACTTCCCAGAGGGCTGCATACTTCTTTCAGGAGTCCCTCTAGTTAGAAAACTTACTCTGTATCAAGTCAAAATGGGCACGTTTAGTTACTTCTGTCTGTTGATAGTATTGTCTGGCATACAGTGTAGGCCCTTGATAAGTAGCTGTTGAATACAAATAAACAATTAGTCCTAATCAAATTGTTGCAGTTTTTTATCCTTAAAGCAAACATAATTTATAACTATAGTAACAGAATACCTATAAACACATTAGGGCCCTGCTCAGGAAAAGTAAACTTCTTTGAGCAGGGGTTCTCAACCTGTGGGTCGCGACCCCTTTGGGGGGTCGAACGACCCTTTCACAGGGGTCGCCAGGTACTCGTATGTGGGCGTATCTGCATGTGGGCCTGGAGACGGATAGAGGAGCGTCTAGATGTCTCGGTTCCTAAGACCATCGAAAATATGTGTTTTCCGATGGTCTTAGGCGACCCCTGTGAAAGGTTGAGAACCGCTGTCTTTGAGGAATTAAATAATGAGACAACAATGACATGACATGCCTGAGGCTTTCCTTTAATCTGGGGAAACAGGAAAAAATGAAACATGAGTGGCCACGTGTTGTTGTGAAGCTGCGTGAAGTGTGAGTGGGGGTCCTTACGCTATTCTAACTTGTGTGTGTGAAAAAGTCCATGTAGAAAGTTTTAAAACCCTGAGTGTCTTGAGAATCTCTGTCCTGTAACTTTCTGGCCTAAGTCCCAGTGGGTGGCACTGGGTCGCACTGTGAGTCATCTGAGTAACAGCATCCTGGGGGAAGTCCCCTCCCCCGTCTCCAAGCTCACACCCAGAGACTGCCGATTTGGTGCAGGAGGTGTTAGTTTTAGAAAACAGGATAACTTTGCATTAAAGATATTAACATAAATATTAATACCATGCTGTACAGAAAGGTCATGGGAAATGAGATACCA